CATTGAATTGTGTGTTCAGGTATAAAGGATGGGATCTGGGTGGCACACCACTGTACTTACTACAGATTTGATTTGTTTTTTCTGATCCCTCTTTGGATCCGGACAGTTCTTCCAAATCAAAGTCTCAGCAGATGTAGCTATGGTATCTAAAATCATGTATGATGATGCTTATAGAAGGAATTCAACCTATCTTAATCTTATCTGAGCTCTTTCACTGATTTGCCACATTGTTTATTTTTTAATATCTTCCTCTCAATAGTAGGGAGTCATAATGGAGGTTCCCTCTTCATTTCTCAAAATGATAAGCTCATCTCACCCTACTGAAAAAAGACAAATATAAATTCATGGCACTTATAGTCCTGGATTACAAGGAATAACAAGGATAACAAAGAAGTAAATTGGGATTTGACCCATACAGAGAGGAGCATAGTCATAGATATGTGAAGGAAGTCAAACCACGTTCAATCTTCTCTGCCCATTTGAACTAAATCCTCAGTCGTGGAGATATCCAGGAATGCACCATGTCAAGAGATTAGTTGTTTCTTACCTTCACCTCTTAGATACACACTTTGGTAGATCTCCAAATATTCGAGAATGAATTTCACCTTGTTAACATTTCTGATGTATACATAGACATAATATTGTTAGGGTGAGCTATGTGAAATTGCCAACATTTGATAATTTTCACCAACATAAAGACATGTGGTTCAATCAGTAATACAAATTTTCTTAATCTGATTTTTGTTGTCCCCTAATTGGACAACAGCCCTTAGAATGGCTTCTAAGGGTCTCTCTACATTCCCTGAAAATTCAGGAAGCTTTTATGCCTCAGTGTTTATGTGACTTCATTTGGAGGAGTAATAAAGGACACACATGTCAAATTTGTTTCTAAGGAATCTGTTATTTCCTGTTCATTGCAACTTAAGAACCATTGGGTAGTCATAAAAATACAGAATTTAAAGTGAAGAACTCAAATTGCTACCTCTCTAGAGGTAGTTACTTAAGCTCTGAGAATCCAGTTCCTATTTATGTAATACAAATTTTGTATACCGGGTATTTGGAGAACAAAATCTCATATAGGAATAAAAATCTAATGAGCTTAATCGATAATCCAGTGATGCATATCTGGAAAGTTTTAGTGCTAAACAAACAGAATGTAGTGTCTGTCCACTTTCCCCTGTTCATAGGCCTGGAATCAGGAAGTGCCATAGATGAGTGAAAATGGAAAGACTCAGAAAAACATAACAACCCAGAAACTAACCAAAAGTGTTTTCAAACGTCAGAGAAGATTCCTTTCAATTTTGTGGTGTAGTTTCAGGATCTGCTATGTAGTGACCACCACAAAGGATGACCTGGAAGTTGAAAGACGTGGCTTGGGAGTATATTAGGTGTGTCTGTACCCAGCAGGCAGTAAAAGAGAGTTTTCTTAAAGCTAAACAGTTCCATATCAGAAAAACATTCTTTCACCCCTCACCAGTGACCAGAGGTTATATCTGTGGTTAATGAACAGGCTTTGGATGAAAAAACAACCGAGTGTGTGGGACTGGTTTCCCAATTTTGTCTGCTAATTACTTTACATTCATCCATCCATCCACCCACACATCCATCCTTCTATCCATTTAATCTCTCTTTTCTGTTTCAGAGTATGTTGCTAAATTCTCCAGCAATCTCTATCATTCCTCAATCCTGAAAATGACTTGCTTTTCTAAAAGAGTTTGCTCCCTTTTGAGATCTAGTTAAAGTTTTTCTTTTTCCTATGATGCATGTGTTAATTAATTTTATACCAGCCATGTAATATATGAATGCAATTTCCTTGTTCAGACAAATTATAAAACATAGCTGACAAAGCTAACGTTAATTTTGACTTGTTGCTATCTTTGATTTTCTTCGGGTTCATGCCTGGTGCTCATTTCAGATCTGGGTATTCCTTAGGAAGTACATCTGGTATGCTTTGTGTTGAAGAGGACAGCTGTTCACATAATACTTTTAGTGTATGCTTGGAGGAGAGTCAGGCTTGTAGTGGCAGAGGTGGTGTGGGAGTAGAGACAGCCAGTAGAGCTTCCTGTTGGCAAGTTTTTGCACCAGCTGCTACCTGATTTTCATACCTGGAACATTAACATCATTATTTAAAGTAAAAATAATCTGGTTGTTATATATGTTAAAATAACTGTGACTTGGATTTAAAAAGAGCAATTTTGAAAATATCATCTTTGTTTGAATAAGGTATACACATTTAGTGTTCTAATTATACTGCCGGTTCTAGAATTTTCTTTGTATATATGTACAACAAACATAGGTTTTTTAATAATAGGCATATGTTGAGATGGATTTTCTGAAAAGTCTTTTAAAAGAGTTACATATGTAAAACATGATGTTAGGTTCCTTTTAAAAAGCAGTTGTAATGCTACACCAAGAACCTCAAGTATTTTTGCTTTTTATGGAAGCAGAACCTGTAGTATCCACTAGTCTACAACTGTCAGTGCAAAAGACTATGAAAAAAATTTAGCCGATACATTTCAGAGAAGCCTAACAATTTAATATAACAGAATGTATGGATGGATATTTAATATTTAAATTTTATTCTTTACCGTTGTGAAGTGAACACAGGACAAAAAAATATTTCTTTTTGGAAATCAGAATTATTGAGCAGGGAGTCCTCATTGAGAGGCACTTCCTGTGTGCTTCCATGTGACTTCACTTATTCCTCACAGTAGCCCCATAAGATAGGTCATATATGTGTACTCAGCTGTGGAAACAAGGTACTCTAAAATCAGAAAGAAGAGATTACTTGCTCAGATTTATCTAGCTCGTAAAAATGGAGCTAGGATTCAAACTCCAGGTTTTGTTTGGTCAACCCTCTCTACAGCATGTGAACTTAACTTGCTTCCTTTTCTCCCACTGTGATTTTGAGCACATGGTGCAGCATCAACCTAACCTCTGCTTTGGCGGCACCAGTGTTATCTGGGGGTTTGTATTTTTCTTCTACTGGCTGTCGTGGGACAGATCTGCTGTTCAAATGAGAATGAAGTCTGATGACCTTTCAGTCGTCACTGTAAGGGCAAAAGCCAAACTTATGCCTCCTTGCCTTTCCCCTTTTTGTATCCCAGTGTTTCTCTGCTGATTGTCTCACCTTAAGTTTTTCTGCTTGTACCACAATGTGTAAATACTGGTATAGCCACTTGCCACAAATCAAGTTACAGACACATCACTACCCTACCAAGCAGAAGTTTTCAATTCAAAACGACGATCATTTAGAGACCCTTGCAGGATAGAGACACATTGCTGACAGATGCAAAACGAGCTGAAGGTTTTGAGCATGGGCCCTTAGGATAGAGAGATTCATAACATAAGAGCCACCCCTAATAATTAGTTTCAGGTAGGGTCTATTTTAGGACCTAAGAGGAGGCAGTTAAGATTGTTCTCCCTTTTACCAAAGTTACCCTTTGAGACTGAGGCCTGTTGGGGTTAAAGCCATCGTGTGCTTGTTTACACTTTCTATTCCTGCCTTGGGAATCAACCCAACTCTTCCTTCCAGAAAGCAAGTCTCTTTTCTGGTACATGAAAAGGAAGAGTTGGGTGATCCCAGGAGATTTTGATGTCCTTTGCTACTGGAGTTGAGGGCTCTTCTTGGTTACCTTATGATGTGTTTTATATCTAGCCATGATACAGCTAGAGACAGGGATCTCATATTGCAAGCCATAACCTATGGGCCTGGACGTTTCTGAAGTTCTGAAGGAATATTTATTACTTCAAAGAGAGGAAATGAAAAGGGGGAAATTGACTCTGTAAAAGGAGAAAGTGGCTGGTGTTTCCGTCAAAGGAGGAGAGAAAGAAGGGAGAGATGTATTGCATTGACCACTGGAAATCATAAAATCACCCTAATTAAGCCAGAAGTGCAAATGGACACTATAAACACACCACCAATACTCAGGAAAAAATCAGTCTGTGGACAAGAAAGAATTCTCGTTAACATGGAAAACATGTTTTAGTCTCCTCTCCCTATTTTTAGAGGTGGTTCCTGCCATTAGTTGTTGGATCTTGTTTTTACGCTAAGGACAGTTTTCCTGGGGCTTCATACTCTCAGAACCTGATAAACAGCTAAAGAAGTGCACACAGACTGTTTGCAGTCCAGCACCAGATTCAAATACGATGGTCACCAGGAGGGCTGAGATTTAAGTCTCAACAGTAATCAAGTGATGTTGGGCTATAGGAAATAAAACAAAGCTAGAATTGTTGCATCAGTTTATTTCAGTCTGGGAAATAAGCTCTCCAGTTCGTTCCTCCATCTCGAAGTTTTCTTTTATATTAAAGGATTTCCAGGGACAAAACTTCCATGCTAATTTTGAAAGACGGTCTTATTGTTAATTAGCCTGAACATCTAAGAATATTCATTAAGAATAACTGAATTTTCCTATGCATCTATGCTGGCTTTTTTTTAACTATGGAGAGGGTAAATGTGCATGGGACACCTGGAGGAGTGTATAGGAATAAATTCTATGCCCAGAAGCACAAACTCTGCAATAGTCTCTCCCTGTTGTTTCAGTGTTCACTACTAAGTGAGAGGTTCTGATCAAATAATTTAGTGGGGGAGACAGGAAAAGGGGAAGGCTAAGTGGCCTTACCAGTCCAGAGCAACACGTCAGCTTGGTAATCAGCTTATCCACTTCTCTCACTTAGGAGATAAGGAAATATTGGCTGGCTCAGCAGTGATTTATTGACCCCACTCTTTGAGTGAACTTTTTGAGAAATTTAAGGATGGGTTAGATGAAAAAAAGAAAGAAACCGTTGAAGTAAGAAGTTTTGGAAAAACTTCTGAAATTTGTCTTCACCCTGTCTAACTTTGACCTTTGGTGTGCTCTGGATATCTTTCTGTGCCAAGTCCATATTTGTACCCTGTGCAAAGAAGGAAGCTTATACTTTATAAGTGGTAATTGTCTGCGACATGTGCCTTTGTCATCCAAGGGAAATCATGGCTTAACCAAATCTGTTCTTGTGCCTAGGTGTGTTTCAGTAGACCAGGAGTGGCTACAGCAATTTTCATCTTCCTGACATCTGTTGGGCTGGGTCCTGGAGAACGTGAGCGACCAGCAGTGACTCTCCACCTGACTGATATTAATGGAAACAACCACTCTCTCGGTGAGGCTCATCATTATTTGTTTAGTGCCACAGAGGACAATTCAGTAAACCCAGGAGTCAGTTTATGTATATAGCTGATATTGCTTGAGCCCTTGTCTATATCATAGAGATGATGAGATGCATACCAGCTATGGAGATATAAATAGCCTAAAATATTATTCATCTCTCCATTTCTCTTCAGGAACCTATGAACTGTCATGTCAGCACAACCCACTGGTCATCAATGTGAGCCGTCACCCCAGTGAACTTCTTCACCATACCACCTCAGTGCTGCTGAATTTCTCATCCCCCTTGGTGGGCATCTCCGCTGTGGCTCTAAGGACATCCTCACATATAAGTCCTTTAACTCCCAACAGCTGCACCCCAGAACACGAGAGGCAAAATCATAAGGGAAAGAGGTACAGAGATGCCTTTATTTTTTTTTTTCTTTATTTTTCTATGGGCTGGGATATACTGCTCTCATCTCCAGACAAAGCCTTGGGTATACAGTAAGAACTTTATCACTAACATAAAATAGATCTAAAAAGTTCTAAAAAAAAAAAAAACAGGAAGCAATTAAAGTAAAATTTGTAGAAGGCACACTTTGATTTTATATTTGCATTTCTTTCCGTATATATTTTTATGCAATTATTTAGCATCTTTTCAAAGTCTTAAAATTTGTTTTACATATAACATCACTGTATTCAAATTAACGTTGTTATATAAACTGCCAAAAATTCTACGCCACTCAGTGTTTCCTAAGCAAGGTGTACTGTTTTCACTGCTCCCGCCTAGAGAGTGTATATAGCAAGTTTAACAGTTTCTGATGCACATCATATAGTCCATGTGAGCTACATTTGGAAATCAGAAATGCACTGGCTTTAGGTGTCTTTCTGTGGACATCTATGATTGTCAACATCTACCAGAGTTTTCCTGGACTCTCAGCTACAATGAGTAGGGGCTATACCTCATAGCACTACTGTGCCTGAGTCATGGAAAGGGAGCACTATAAATGCAATAGTCTGTTGTAGTTGTGCTGGGCTCATTCTGTGCACTCAATTCTAATCCATTGAGTGGGACTAGCAAGGTTCATTACTTCAAGAAGGAAGTTCTCAGCCAGTTAGGACCTTGTTCATAAAAACTGAGGTTCTAGACAGTTCTATCATTACGAAGAAGCTCTGACATAACAGTGCCCAACATTGGTATCCTAAAAACCTAGTCTTGAGTAGAGAATATGAATAAACCTAGTAGAATATACTAGTTAGCTATTGCTGTGCAGCAAATTATACTAACGTTTAGTGACATCACAATTTCTGTGGGTGAAGAATCAGGATGCAACTCAGCTGGGTGCCTTTGGTTTAGTGTCTCATATGAGTTTGCTGTCAAGCTGTTGGCCAACGCTGCTGTTGTCTCAAGGCTCAAGTGGCACCAGAGAATTCATTTTCAACCTCATCATGTGGCTCCTGGCAGGTCACAGAAGCTCGACATCCAATCTCACTCTTAGAGGTGCTGGCAATGGGCAGCTCAGTTCCTTGCAATCTGGACGCCTTCATATGCTGCCCAAGTGTCTTCATGACATAACAGCTAATGACCCAAAAGAGCCCAAAAGGGAAGCCAGACTTTCTGTAACAATGTTGGAAGTGACATCCTATTATTTCTAGCATATTTTATTTATTAGAAATGAGTCAATAAGTCCAGTCCACACTTAAGGACTCTTTCCCATATGCAGTAACAGTCGTTGATGCTAATTGAGTACTATGCTAGGAAGGAAGAAATAGGGGAGGGTAGTCTGGAGAATTATTACATTCACTAGTTCACCTGTAACCCGTAAGTCTTTTTAGTGAGCAGACATCTTCAAATATTAACATAAAAATGTAGCCTATTTTAGTAACACTGTTTACTAGAAATATTGCTTCTCTCTCATGTGCTTTCAAATTTTCTCTATTGGCTCTACCTCTGGCCTCCAGCCAAACAGAACTTCTTTTTGGTCCCTGAAACATGTGTTCTTGATGAGCTACATGTCTTTGCACATAATGTTCCTACTTTCCTGAATGCCTTCCAGTCCTTTCTCACTTTAACTACCACCTCACCATCAGGATGCACCTTCTTCTGTGAAGTTTTGGCAAACTCTGTGAAGTTTTCATAGGCTGCTGTACACACTAAAGAAGTCTCCAAGACATAAGGTGGTAACTATTTATTTGTTGTTCTTTCCCACTGAACTCTGAGCTGCTTCTAGTGGGAACTTTGTTTTGTATCTGTCAGTACCTCACAGAGGAGGTCTGCATAGTAGGTGTCAGAAACTGTGCCCTAAAGGATAGACAGACTTTATCTCTATATATTTGGTGGCACAGATCTGAACACACCAAGCCAAAAAGCAGAAGTCACAACTCCTCTAGACCTCGAGGGACAAGTATTTCTCTCGCCATCACAGCTGTGATGTTTTGACAAAGACATTGATTAATTGTGATCACTGCTACTCATTCTGCTCTTATTTTCATTTGTCACTGTGGGAAAAACAAGATTTATATGCATGCATGCAAACCAGTAGAAATAGAATCTGATTCTCTAGTTTACACAGGGTGTATTTGGAATGCATAAGCATTCCCAGACCGCATGTGACTGACAGGAGCCATGCAAATTGGCTTTTCCTTCTCGGCCAGGAAATCAGTGCAGTATGGTAAATTTTTATGCACAGGAAGCCAAATAGATCCCATGTATTTTTTCTCCTGTGAACTGATTAAAATATGAGTCCCTGTGTGTCTCAAAGAATAGATCTTTTTGTATCTATATATCAATTGCAGCTAGACAGACAGACAGACAGACAGACAGACGGAACACAGAGACAGACCATAATATGAAACCCTCAAATTCTGGGCTTAGTGAGAGAGATTACTGGCTATGTCCTTTTTACCCCTTATGACCTGAATTCCATTAATATTTAAATGGGCAAGTGAGGGCAGACAGATGCCTGGCAGTAGAAGATGTGTTGTTTGTTTCACATTTGGCCATTCATGACCAGTGGCCTGTCCATCTTGTGACACTGCCTGTAAAGCAGCCTAGGTGGGCCACAGAACCTCAGCTGTGGGCTGTGAAACCTGAGTGGTTCTCTAGCGATGTTTGCGGGCCTTACCTGGACTCTCTGACTTTATCTCTTCTTGTCTTGTTTCCATTTTGTAATGATGGTTTTTCAGTTTATGAGCCTTTGGGCTTAGTCTGCTGATGCTGAGTCTTTTAACCTTAACATTGAGGCAAAAATTTAATTTTTCTGTTTTTGCCCACCATTGCTTAATAAGAGCTTAATTCGTTCTTTTTCTCCAACTGTTTCCAGCTCTAGTCACTTTAGGGAGAAGTCCTTCATAAGCTGCCACAGAATCTCGGGAGTTACAGGATCAGGTAGACCCCCAACCTAGATGGCTTTGGAATGGGGACCACCTTTTGATTGATGTAGTGTGATTTGGAGAGTGTGCAGGACATAATCCAAGTGCTATTATTTTAATCATTGAGTGAATTGGCATGCAGAGAATCAGGACTGTGTTTAAATTTTGAACATATAAAAAACTAATTTTTATTATGTGAAATTATGTATGATATTACACAATAGTTAAAGCAATAGATTCTGTCAACAGTGACTCTTGTCATCTACTTTGGAAACTCACAAGGTGAAATCTAAACTAATTGACCAATGAGTAAGAAATGCTAATGAGCACATAGTTTCTCTTATGACAGAATTTTTTTCTAGTCACATGAACACAATGAAAAAATAAATTGCAACTTCTCTAACCCTACCTGAAGATAAAGCCATAGGATCTCCCTTACCACAGATTCTAATGATAAAGAACATAATCTTTTCTAGAACATGGACTGATGACAGTGGTTGGAACTTCTGATTAATACTTTCACATTTCTACTGATTCAGTTTTCTATCTACCTGCTGTAGAAGAGGTTGAGAATGTAGGGTAACCTTCTAAACAATCATGTCTCTTTTTTTAAAGATCTGTTATATTTATTTATGCATGCATGAACTGGGGCATATGTCAGAGGTGTGGGAGGTAAAAGGATTCTCCAGTTCTTGGTAGGTGAGTTATCTATGCATACTTTTCTCAGTGACTGTCCTTTCAACTGTCCATTATCTATATATAATACATTTTATAAATGATCCCTGTCCAAATTTTATTTCTAAGTTTATTTTCTCATAATCTTTAGCCTACTCAATAGTAATTTTTTCCATGACTCAAGTGGAATTTTTAAATATTAATTAAAGCGATATGTATTTCTTTCCTGGAAAATAATGAAATTACATAAAATCTTAAAAATTAAAAAATTGTAGGTGTTGCTTAAATTTCTGAGTTCTCACTCTTCATAATTATTGGTTAATTGAGAGTTAACTGCGATGGCAATCTTGGACTAGTTAAATGTGTATATGTATATTTGTATATATAGTTCAACTTATGCAAGGCAATCTTTTGGAAAGGGTCAGTATACAGAAGATTAGCTGTCTAAATTATAAAATGACTTAACTTTTTAAAATGATTATTTCATTGAAAAATATATTTTCAAGTAAAAATAAATGTTAGGACAGAGCAATATCATCCTTGTATTTTTAACTTTTCTTTCTTCTCTTCCTAAATATGATTTTTCTGTATACTTAAAGCAAACTAAGAGTGAACACAAATAGCCTTGTCACAAAAAATAATTAACATGCACACTATTCTGATAGATTCTTATTCTGGGCAAGAGCTCTTAAATAGAGCTGTTTCACCTGTGGACATCAGTTGGTAGTTAGCCTCAGACTCTTGTATTTAAAATAAAAATGCACATAAACATATGTATGTCATGTGCCGTATATACCTGCTATGTGTGGTTAGTCTAAAGAAAAGAATCATGCTTGTGTAAAGAGAATCAGGTAATTTTTAAAAAGGAGTAATTAGAAAAGAATGTATACCTGACCTGCTTTGGAATGCCTCAGTTTACAGAGAGATCTGAAGATAAACAAATACTCTTTATCACTTTTGTTGCTGTTTTAAAGCTTCTGTTCTTAGACGTAGTTTTCATTTCATTTTCATACCAGTGATTGCAAAAATTTAAAAATCCATTGAGAAATTCAACAATTAGCAATCACCAAACAACTTGTACGTTTCTGTTTGTAATTTCTGAACTTTGGGAGCATTAATTAGTGCCAGTTCAAACTGACTTCTCCCCCAACTGCCTTCAGACCCCTCTTTCAATGGTACCCCTGTGCTATGATGCAAAAGATGTTTTTATTTTTTCAAATTTTAATTAATTATTATTTTCTCTCACAACGTTTGCTTTCTTTTCTCAGGTGTAGTCCCCACAGTACTTTTACCACCAATACACCCGTGCACTATCACCATAGTGCCTTGTTGTTTTTCCATCTTTGTTTCAATCCCTCCCCCTCACC